GCAGCCAGTCCCTCACCTCATCATACCTGCGGGAAAGAGGCATTGCAGTTGTTGAGAATTTTACAGTGCACTTTACAATCCCCAGGCAGACAGAGATGGACAAAGAGCACAAATGCAGCGAGCTGAAGGACCAGCTCACCATATCGCTCTCATGCCTCGTCTGCAGTTGATTGCCTGTGCCTGAGAGCACTGTGCAGCTGAATCAAGAGAGGGGCTGCATTTGGGGCTCGGAGAAGGGTAACAAACTGGAGCAGCCTTACAACAGAGCATGTTGCTGGTAGCCCACAGCAAACAGAAAGAAGCCGTGTGTTAACGGAGGCTGTGGTTGTCCACCCAGACCTTCTAAGAGCTGACACAGCAAAGTCCCATCTTTTGATTTCAGATACCACGAGGTCAAGCCTCGCTCACGACCTCTGAAGGGAAAAATACAGAGACCTGATCTCAAAAATAAATACAAGGGCTCTAAAGTTCAAGTGAAATCCTTATTTCTGCAGATATTTTAGCTGTTTGCATCTGCCTACTGCACCTGTAAGAGCAAAGCAGAGAAGATATCTGCTCGTGCAGATTTGCATTAAGATATCAGAAACAAAAAGATCATACTCAGCAGTTCCAATAGAGAACATACTTGATTTTATACAACTGCCTTTCTAGAAGCAAGTCTTAGTCAATAGTATGCAGTTTATGATACTGGTAAGAGCATGCCGTGTAAAAGTGTAGGAAGAAATATGATTTCTAGTGCACTCTAGCACAGAGCAGTTGCAATGCTGTCTGCACTTCTACTTTGCAGAAGTCACATGGGAGTCAGCTGCTCAGCAAAGCAGCCAGGTCCTTTGGGTCTGAGCGACCTCTGATACCCTCCTGCCTTCGGAGTTAGGCTATCAACATGCTTTCAGTTTTAAGGCTTCAAAGTTCAGACGTGCAGCTAGTAACACTTACAGGCAGTTACTAATTGTTTTTGCATTGCACCAAGAAGCCCTGGGTGCCAGCAAGAGTGAAAGACAGCGGGCATCTAGTTCTGTTGCTGGTTTAAAGGCAACTTTTTAATATCTGCCAGGTAACTTGGGCAAAGGAAGCGAGGTGATTAGTAAATTACAGAAACTTCAGATTCGCTATGCTTAAAGTGAAATAACACACTGCAATAACACAAAGACTCCGTTGTTTACCCAGTTGTGATAGCTGGGGTCTGAGATTTAAGGCTTTGGATGCAGCCACATCCACTTGGGCATCATTTGACCTTGTTCCTAGCAGCCACTGCTCAGGGCTTGTGTGCTTCCTCGAGCTGTCCCTTCTTGTTAGGTGTTTTTCCAGCTGACCCCATCTGAAGGAGCTGAGCGGCTGCATGGAGAAATATCGGAGCTGACAAACAACAGCTGTAGCTCCAAAAGAAGTCAGAAGGCCTTTTACATGGTGTTCCCCCCCACACACACCTCTCTGGGCAACAACCCTGCTAAAGAGTCTGTCCCCTTCCTTCTTACAGCCCCCCTTTAGGTTCTGAAAGGCCCCTCTCGGGTCTCCCAGAAGCCTTCTCCAGGCTGAGCAGCCTCAGCTCTCTCAGCCTGTCCTCATAGGAGAGATCCACAAGGTCAACACCAAATGCGTGTTGCTGTGTCACAGCCAGCCGTCACCTTACTTGTCCTTCAGGCCGCAGCATCCCTGTGCTGTCTCTCTAGCAGCCACCTTTACAAGAGCCGCTTCTTGATCTCAAGCAGCCCAAAGAAATCATCCAAACGCCTCTGTTCTGAGACATGGCTTATATCAACTACCCCCAAGGCACCCTGTCCCCGTGGGGATGCTCTGCCCTCAGCTCCCCAGCAGCTGGCCCACATCAGCTCCTGGAGAACAGCTGTGGGGACTGCCATGCCAACACAAACCCTTGGAGCAGGACAGTCACATCTTGGTCGGTCAGGGCCACTTTTGATGCTCTGAGTCCCACCGTACAGATTAAAACACATAGCACCAAGATTGAATTAGGAACTAACAGATATTGCTACAGAGAACTGGAATTTACAACTCCATTTTACTTTGCCGCTCGTTCTTCTTCTATTTCCTCCTGCCCCTACCCTTCCACATAGTTTAAAGCCAATTTAATCTTAGTCGCAGTATTTCAGATTACACACGTGCTTCAGAGCAAATCCACATCATACCAGTTTTCTACACTCAGACAAAAAGATGTTAAGACTCTGCATTGCCACAGAGGAACGCTTTTTACAAATATCTGCACATCACTGCATAGAAGCATAGCCCATAAGCTGCTGCTGTGAAGCAGTGAGTTAACATCTTGCACACTCCACATGCCTGCCTATAACACCTTCCCACTGCTTCAAATGAGAAGCTCATTCAGAGACAACTGTCATCTTTCACTTCTGCTTTTTTTTTTTCCTGAAAATGAGCACATCTTGGAGCAGACATCAGCTCCTGCTATTTCTCCCTGAGCGTTGCCCAGCAGCCTGTCACAAGTTACTTTTTCTACACTAGTAATGCATCCTAAGCCAAGAATAAAGATGCACAAGGGCAAAGAAACAGGTGTTTGGAAAACCAAAATACATTTCTTTGGCAGCATCTATGTCAGATTCCTTCAGCTAAACCTCTAAACCCTCACAGGCACCCTTGCAATTGTGCACACATTTTTGAGGCAGCACGTAAGCATGAGAGAGTTCATTTTTTATTTCCTAAAAGATAGGTGCCTGGATGCCAGATACTTTCTGACTCTTACAGGACCTGCTAGGAAGGGAAAAGGGAAGAATAGGCCTCCCCATAACACACACACACACACACACACCTAGCCTGGTCGGCAGGACTGCTGGATGACAAAGGCATTAACTTAGCACTCAGAAGATCAGGTGCTAACCTCAGCCCCAGCCTCCCTTGCATGCCTTTAGCACTCACCTCATCCTTCTGGGAGGAACTGCGGTCATTACCAAAAGGCCAGGAAAACAAACAGCAGCTTCTTTGATGTTGAGCCCCAGACACAGGGTGAAAATTCCTGCTCTGCTGCCGGTTGGATCTGCTCGAGAACTTGAAGTGGTGAATCAGCTCAGTTAGCTCAGCATGGCACCCAGATTAGGCCATGATACAGGGTGATGGCAGAGAGGTACAGCGTCTCCAGAGCACTTCTTAGCACTGCCACATGCTACCATATGACACTGATAAGCAGGGTGTAGGCTGTGCTACTGGGATGTTCTATACCCACTGCAGTGTGTAAAACCACCTCAAAGTTCAGCAAGCCCACTCTGAAGTTCACAGTCATGTTGCAGCCCAGTGGAACCGTGCTGAGGCATCACAGCTGAGGACACGGGATGCAGAATGGCAGCCGATCATCACCAAACTGCTGGAAGCATGACAATGCAAATACAGCCCGTTGCTGCCAGAGATGTCACCCCTGACAGCCAGCAAGCTCAGCAGTGTGCAGAACTGTGGTTACAATGCTTTCTTAGCACCGCTCCCTTCTGCTGGAAAAGGAATGGCACTTCGTGCTATGAGCAACCAGCCAGCCTGTAGGTGTAGTTTGCTACTGGGGTTTTTGGGACAGCTGCTTTGAGAGACTCTTGCTTCATGCACGCTGTCTCCAGGAATGGAACTCACCCAGTTGTCAGCTTTCACATCAGACCATGGACTACGGTCTTCTAAGCTCCAGCTGCAGCCTCCACGCCAGCTCGCTCAGGGGCTGGCAAAGCAGCTGCTATCAGCAAGGCAAGATATGCAGGAAAACGTCACACATTTTAATCAAAAGCAGAGAAAGCTAATTTAGGAAGAAGCAGTGGGGGAGGGGCAAGCCAGCTTTTCTGTAAAGCTTAGTATGATCCCAGAGATGAACTAGTTGGATTAGCTACTTAGCAGCAGTGCAGTTCAAACATCACGAGGCTCAGGAAAGGAAACCCTTTGAAGATGGGAACAGCATTCCTGAATTACCTGCTTTCTTACCTACTGCGAGTGCACATGGGCACTCTTAATCTGGGAAGCCACCAGCTCTACTTCAGAGCTCATCGGATGCAAATGCATAACAACAACTCCTCCAGCCACACCCACCAGCCCATGAATTACCTACAACACTCAATTTATTTGGCAGCATTACAAATGGGCACTGCATCTTTTGCCCTTTGTTTTTCCCCACTACTAAGCAACAGACAAGATGACTGCGGGAAGGAAATGGCATCATGGAAAACCAGTGAAGGCTACCTCCCTTGCAGGGTATAGCCATGGTTGGGCTTAACACAAATGTTTTAAATGCCAGGAGCCTGGCCAACTCGCTTGAAACACTGGTGTTTAAGTTACATGCCTCATGGTAAGGCAGTGACACAGTTGGGTCAATTCCTCACCAACTTTGGGAGTTGCCCCCAGTACAAGAAAGACATGGAGCTCTTGGAACGAGTCCACAGGAGGGCACTAAGATGACCAGAGGGCTGGAGCACTTCTATGGGGAAAGGTTGAGGGAACCGGGATTGTTTAGAAGGCTGGGGGAGACCTCATTGTCGCCTTCCAATACTTGAAGGGAGCGTATAAACAGGAAGGGGAATGGCTGTTTATGAGGGTGGACAGTGATAGGACAAAGGGGAATGGTTTTTAAGTGAGACAGGGGAGGTTTAGGTTGGATATTAGGAGGCAGTTTTTCACCCAGAGGGTGGTGAGGCACTGGAACAGGTTGCCCAAGGAGGCTGTGGATGCCCCATCCCTGCAGGCATTCAAGGCCAGGCTGGATGTGGCTCTGGGCAGCCTGGGCTGCTGGTTGGTGACCCTGCACACAGCAGGGGGTTGGAACTGGATGAGCACTGTGGTCCTTTTCAACCCAGGCCATTCTGTGATTCTACGATTGCCTCAGGCAGGCATGCAGAAGGCCCTGCTCAACAGGTCATCAGATTTGATGTCTGCAAGATGAAATGGCAGTTAAGCTCCTACAGGGGGCTGCAAGGCATTATTAAAAACAATGAGCCAAAGAGGAAAAAAAAAAAACCACAACTTTTTTTCTCAGCACTAACTCTGTTTTTGTTCTATGTTCCCACTAGGCAGCCAGCTCCCTGTGTTCTTGAACATCAAGGCCATGGCGCACGGGCCCGGCTGGCCTGGGATCTGGGCAGGTACAAAGGCTCCTCACAGCGAGCGCCAGTCATGATCCAAGCTCCTCCCAGCCACCAGCACCAAGGAAAAAGGTGAGGCGTCTTCTCCAGCAGAATTCAGACCCCCGCACCACGGCTGCAGTACCCTTATCTGCAACCTGCAAATGGAAAGAGAATCTTGCTGGTTTGGAAACATACGAGTACCAATATCGCACAAAGCACAGCCACACAACTAAACGTCAAAAGAGTCGCACGCCGTAGGGAACCAAAAACAGTTTAAAAAATTCAAAAGGCTTACAGTTGTCAAAGCTGAAGGGAAAAGCTTTAGGAGACTTAGCCACCTTAAGGAACTCTATGGAGCCAAAAGAGAAAAACAGCAACACTCCTATCCACAAGCACGGCTCTGGGAAGACCTCAGCCTTCTGAATCAACCCGTATTTCTGCATCCACAAACACTTCTCTTCCCACAGGCTTACTGTCGCAGTGGGAGACTCCTCATGGGAGCTTGCCCTCTGTCTAACACCATTTTGTTAGATCACAAAGGAATCTCCAAAGCTCCAAGCAGATGAAAAACAGTTTATGAGATTATATTTATTTTTAAGTGCTCGACTGTCACTCCTAAGCCCTTTGGCCTTGCGTTGACCTTTAGGATTTCTAGAGAAGATGCTACTTGTACTGCTTAAACTGTTTTAGCTTTGGGATGGTTCCAAACAGCCAAGTGACTGCAACTATTATGAGAGTAATTTTCCAGCATGTGGATTACTAGCATGTGGCCACTTAAGCTATTTTTATATGGGATTGGAAGCCTTGCAGGTCACAGTCCCATGGTTTATCACTCAGCTGCATGTCCTTTATGCTCAAAATCCCATTTAGCATTCTCAGTCCTGCTCTCTCTTCAATTGCATAAACACAGAAAGCCAAAGGATACAGTGTGTGAACAATGAATAGGAAAACTCTGCTGTTTTATAGGACTTCCTCATTTAGTGAAGTGGGAGAAAGACCGCACAGTATTGGCACAAGACTTGGTTGCTTTGCAGCACTGTTCATGTTTACTTATGTCTGCTATAGCCTTCAATTCCTCATTACGTAGCATAAGGAGAATCTCCTCACTGGTTCTGCAATTCCCTTCACCATCTGTTGAAAAGGAAGATGGGTCAAGTCAGTTACAAGGGACATTAATTATTTAAGATGTGGGTTTTTTTGTTTGCAACAGCAGAAATACACTGTATACGTATCTATATATTTTTAAATAGTTTATGTCAGACCAAAGAAACTCCATGGGACCATCCAAATTCTGAGTAGAAGCCAAGGTTCCTGCACCGTGCAAACCACGGAGCCAACCCAAAGATCAACAGCTATCAAAGACATCAGAAGTTGGATTCTCTCTCAGTGCTTTTCTCCTGCTCCTAGCTGAGGGCCCTGCCCCTTCCTTCACCTTATCCTAGCATTTACATGAGCCAAATTCTACTTGTTCATCCAGAAGAGAATCACCAACATTTTTTCCATTCAGGAAAACTGCACTTGCACTCAAGTGAGCCAGGGAGCTCCAGAGCATGTGACAGAAGCTTGCAGATGCACCTAGCATGACAGAAATAAAAGGCTGGACACAGTAACAGTGTTTTCCCCATGTTAAAGTGGTTAGGTATTAAATTGCTGCAAGAGAAAGTCTCGTTTGAGCACAGAAGGAAGGCAGCTACACAATTTGCCAAGTGGAGAGCTAGACTAGAGTTACAGTTCACCACAATGCTGTCGTTTCAATGGACTTTTCAAACTAAAAAAAAACAGACACCAAATTTAGTTAATAACTGTAGAGCATCACCATACCTGCAGACACACAAACAGGAGTGGTAGCAGACAACGCAGCAGGCATTTCCCCTTACTTCAGCTGTGTGTATACAACCATTTAGTACCTTCTACCATAAATAAGTACATATATTTCCAAATGCTTCCATGCCGATATTCACTGCAGCCAGACCAGAAAGCCAGCAGATATATTCACAGCACTGCAGAATGTCCTTGACACCAAAGTGTGCGTTTTCTTTCTTTTCGTTTGGTTGTATTATTATTATTATTATTGTTTTACTCACAATTCTTGTTAGCTTGGTCAACAAAGCAAATGTCTGAAATGTCAGTCTACTGGAGAAGTGCTTACACACTGACAGCCCCACCTGTTCAGAGATATTGACCATAATTCCAGTTGAATTTCCATTTTTACTTGACAAAAAGGAGTTTCCAGTAAGCTGCAGAGCCTGAAGAGTTCTGCAGATCCCCAGCCCCTAACGGCCTGAGCTGCTCACTGCCTTCTAGGTAGCATCATAGAATCGCTCAGGTTGGAAAAGACCTTAAAGATCATCAAGTCCAACCACAACCTAACCATTACCCTAACTCTAACAGCTCTCTGCTCAACCGTGTCCCTGAGCACCGCATCCAAACTGCTTTTAAATCAGCATCCAGCTGACAGTTTGAAATGGAGTAGCTTTCACAAATTAAAATCAGATGGATGCTGCACGTGCTTTTTTCAGTCTGGAGTACTAAGCTGAAACTTTGCTCATGGAGTTTGAGAAACTGAAGACTACCTTGTTTAAAACCAAAACCAAACTCATTTGCTTAAGCCCACCAACAATCTCATTTTCGGGTACACACACAGTGGCACTTACTTTCTGTTACTGAGTGATTTCAAAATAGAAAAAGGACATACAGTGCAATAGTGGCATTCTTCTGACAGCCCTCTTCACACGCGTTTGAGCTCAGTGCCAACCACACACATGGAACCTCTGAAGAACTTATAGCAACAGCCAGGGTCTTAACTAACTGCAAGGAACAGTGGAAAGCAAAACTCTGCTCGAGATCTTTTCTTCCACATATAAACAGAGTAAGGCTTCCAACGCTACGAATGGTATTCATGTTTCAAAGCTTGGAAAGCCTTCCAGCTGGACGATTCCTGCAGCTCTCACTGATGTCACTAACAGGTAACAGGATGCACCGCTAGCCGACAAGCACAACTTCTTCAGAAGTCCATTTTAAGAAAGAAGATACCAAATGCCAATTACATTAATTTCAGAAAGTTTATTGCACCAAATGCCGCAGAGAAATAGACCAAAGTGGCAATGTACATAAACAACTATATGAAAAAAGCCATCAAAAACATGTAGCCTGACATCAGTATTCAGTCATTCCTAAATTAAAAAAAAACTTGTGCTCTCCAAACATGCAAAATAGCAACACATGTTTTTATCTCTATGGAAATCCTACTGTGTATGACAAAGTAGCATACTTGATATAAAAAAACCACACATCTAGAGTGCATTCAGCAGTTCAGACTTCGGTTTGATCCGGGTCCTTTTAACTCAAGTAGAATTTATACTTGAGGAATAACTGATCGTTTTGTGTAAACTATATACATAAGAGTTCGATGCATCGGAAAAGGCTTTTTGACTTTTAAAAAAGGCATTCAGTAGGGGGTGGCAAAGTCCCATCTGTTACTCTGCAGATGTAATTAGAAATATGAATTAATAAGTATGCATTTGTTTCTTTTGGGGAGAAGACAGTTGCATACATTAAATCAGAAAGTACTAATTGAAACTAAAATAATTCAATCTTGGTATTGTTTTAGGTTAAGGAGCTCATAGAAATGCTACGAAATTTAGTAGTTCATCCCTCCCCTCTGTGTAGCAATGCTGAGCCTTGCCTGAAAAAATACATTCTGAAACTGCATTGTGTAAACTGCTTTTACGTGGGATTTTGGAAAGAGTGTGCACTCCCACTTAAAGTATGCATTTCTTGAGTTTACAGAGAAACCTACATAATACTGATAAAAACTTTGGAGTTTTTGAAAACTAAGCTACATAATCATCTTTCAGCTCCTCTGTACATTCATATCACCTCATTCAATTATAACAAAAACAGAAACATGCCCTATAAGATGTCTAACAGCATCTGTAAACACCTACTGCCCCGTCATGCCATACTACGTCACATAAATGGCAAGATGCTACCATAAACAAGTTAAAGACTGAGTCAAAAAAGCCCTAGAAGGTGGAATCCCATCAACTGAGGTAGTACATTTGGTGGAGGGGAGAGAGATGTATTCAACTCTCTTCAGACTAAAACCTTTTTAACGGTAATAAAGAGATCTCACGTTGAATTCCCCTTCCCCAAACTAGAACTGTCAGAACCAGGTAGTTCTTCGTATGATTTCTGAAGAGCAGCAACATGTTGGAGAAAGCAGCAAGAACTATAAAGTTTCAGCCTGGGCTGAAGAAATCCACACACTTGGACCATCAGCACACATGCCACTCCTAGATTAGTTTAATGCCTTGCCAAAAGGCAGATTTTTTGTGTTTTTAATTTGATTTTTTTTTTAATAATCTGTGTGGTAAAAATTGTGACAGCATTAGCCTTGAAATCACTAAGTGCGTTCTAAGGAAGTCAAAGCCAACTCTATGACAGCAAAGGTGTCTCTGCACACTTTGAAAAACTGTCAGTCTGTTCAGCTAAAAAGCCTACCAATGCCTTAGGAGAACTGAAACTGTCTTCTAATAAATTCAGCTATTAATTAAGAAGGACATGAAAAAGAAGAAGCACATGGGAATTTTTATATACACGCAGGGAAGGAGTTTCACAGTCCTACACACATGCACCCACAGGCTCCCCATACAGGGACAGTTCAGGAATACACGATTTGCTCTATGGTTCTCACTTGGTTTTGACCTTGCGAAATAGAATGAAATCTGCTAACAAACAGATGCAGAGAAAAGCTTGCTTTCCAGTAGATACAAGGATTCACAGACCAAAGATATGAAAAATTTGCTTAATTATTCGTGGTAGGAGTACACCTGAACCACAGAAAGATTGTAGCCTCTGTAGGCTAGAGGCAAGTCTATGAAAATACAATAAAAGAAACACCTGGAATGTCAGATCAGAAAGCCAGCATACAAGGAACAGCTTTAGAATCTCTGTATGAGAATATTAGGTATCCCTCTACTTGGAAACAACCCCTCTCACAGTAAGCCAGCCTACCCATTTCCCCTCAAAAAGCAACACGAGGTTAATCAAGACCCCAACCACATTTAAACAACTCACAAAATGAACATTTCATAGTTTCAAATCATTTAAAGTTTACTGTAGAAAAGTCCAAACATCAAGGTAGTATGAAATAAAACCACTTTTAATAAAAGTGCATCCCTTCAGTGTTAAAAATCTCCAATCACCAATGAGGACAACAAATAACTGGTGACCAGAAGTTTCTCAGCTTGCTATTCCCAAACAATTGTTTTGCCAGCGACTCACTTGCAAGCTGTCAATTTCAGACCTCGCTCCTGCTGGCTCAGAACAAAATGGTCCAACATTTATTTTTCCTTTTCCTTAAGAATGCTTTTTTTGATTTCTTTCCTCTCCTCAGTCTGGTCCGTGATTTCACATCCAGCTCAACAGTGCTTTATGCATTATTATTATTTGTTTTACATTCATGTTATCACCAACATGAAAAGAGTAAAATACAAAATTTCCTTTTGCTTTCTAGAAATATAGAAGGTCAGTATCGACTCATGGAGAAGTAGTTTCTGGTCTCAAAGCAGTTAATCTACTAAGGAAAGGCACCCGTATGACAGTTTAAGATTCCTGTAGAATCCAAAAGGATAATTGCAAACATTCATATTAATAGCAAACATCAGGGGGGTTCGCCCTCTACATTTCATCTGACTTGAAGCAATGCTCACCTTTTACACCTAGCATGACCAACTAATAACCAGAAAGAAGTAATACTTTCGACTGAAGGTTCCATAAAGATTCTTCCCCCAGTAAGATTGTCTTCAGTTGGTGCCAACGGACTGGTGTACGTGTGTACACACGTGCACTACAGCACTGGGATCATACAGAAGTTTGTCAAAGTCACACTCCTCAGGGATAGCAATACTTGATGACACCAAGACACAGGTTAAATTCATACAGAAACTCAAAAAGGTATTGAAGTTGCATCAGTAACAAATGTAAACTTGTGGCAGAAGTTCCATAAGGCTTTCCTACAAAAGAATCTCAGAAGTTCATTCCATTTTCGGGGTAGAATTACTTCTACTCATAAGCCATTTGAATACCTCATTAAAAGAGAAGCAGCGGCAGCTTTCTTCATTTCTTGTCCTTCAAGGAAAAAGTCACATCACCTCACGCACACCACCATTTCCAGGTAACATTTGGCTGCTAAAAACAGATTCCTTTTCTGAGCTGGTCACTTTTACTATACAAAATCATGCTTTTGCTCTGCAGGAAAATCATGTTCCGTCTAATACACTTGTGTATAGGAATGCTATATACATAGTTTACAGCTTTTCTTCCCCAGCAAAGAAACATACACCACACTCAGAAGTACACTGTGTGGAAATCCTTTCCAGCCCACTTGTTCTGTAACTGTTACTTCATGGTTTCGAGCAGCGTTTTGGATGGCAGCTCGCAGTCTGCCACATAGTGTTAGCTTTTGTCCTTTGATTCAAAACAAAATGCAAGGATGCAGTCACTAAGTCAGAAGAGAGATTATAAGAAACACCTGAATGCCTTTTATGTTATGTAAACTGGTGTCCTCCAACCAAACATCCAGCTGCAATTGGAATGGAAAGGTGGTAGAAGGTACAGTTATCTGCTTTTTTCAGTGTTCCCATTTACCAGTGTTCGGCACCTCTGTTCCTCTTCCAACATGCCCGTATTCTTTATTTTAAGGGAATGACTATCCTGAGATTTTAATTTATAAGAGTATTTGAGCAACATATGGGGAATGAGTACTTGCTATAGCAGCCAACAAAGGCAAGTCATTGGATTCAATCCTGGGGGAAGAAAAAAAAAAAAAAAAGAGACTTTAAAATATACAATCACTTACACAAAAGAATAGAAACAAGAGGATATTCCTCATCCATTTTAAGGAAATTCTAAGTGTCTTACTGTAACCAAGGCCACTGCTTAGCGATTCGTTCCTAACGTATCAACAAAAGCATAAGTTGCTTCAAAAAACAAAGGAGCAAGAAGCACACTATCATTTGAGTGAGAAAAAAAACCTACTAGTCTCCTTATTTAAAGCTACACTTCTCAGAATGAGATCTTGAACAGCTGGGATAAAGACCAATGAAGTTTTAACCGCAGTGCTAAAACTATCTTCTTGAGAGTGTATGTTCACTTCTTGCCCCTTCCTCTTCTGTTCTCACAGCAGGTGCATCCTTAAAGCTTGTGCTCTACTCAAGTACCATTTTTGGACGACCTCACAGTTACCAAATCAGAAACTTTCTTCATTCTTAAGATTTAAGAATGACTAATGATTAAGTCTTGCTTTTGAACTGCCTGCTGATTTTCAGATGGCTCACTGGAAATTATTTCTACGCTTTTAGACACGTGAGAGAAGGGGAATGCTAAATATGGAATAAGCAGCAAGTCCCCACGGGAACAAAATGATTACATTCAGAAACTGTAAAGGAAAATAACTGGTTTAAGTTTCACCATAAGCTAAGACTGATATCTACAGTACTCACCCTAATACAATTCCTAGTTCTTTTATGTGCACTCTTGTATGTCCTCGCAGATATTCTGAAAGCATTTTGCTTTTGAGATACATCTCTTGTAGTCTGTCCTCAAGATGCATTATGCACTGTAAACACAGACCAAAAACTTCAGAATGACTTGAAAAACTGCAGCATCACAGACATTAGCTACAACAATGCACTGACACATATTAGCAAGAAAACGTCACAAGTCCCCACTCCAAAAAGTGGAGAGGATGTTACAGTTCTGCTGGCAAGTTTGAAAAAAAAAGAAATACACCAGCCTCTCTCACCTCAAGGAATTGGAGCATTTCCACTTTTCTTAGGAAGCAAACTTGTTGCAAGAGTCAAAAAGAAACAACACCCAACACAACCAACTCTCCTCAAAGTCAGACGCAGCGTTTTGCCAACCTGTTTTTAAACAGGCTTACAAACAATTAAGACATCTCATTATGCATCTAACTTGAAGACATTGAAGACGTCTCTTTACTTTGAGGCTGACAGAACACTGGAACAAGTGGCCCAGGGAAGTTGTGGAGTCTCCTTCTCTGGAGATATTCAAAACCCCACCTGGATGCTTTCCTGGGCATCCTGCTGTAGGAAACCTGCTTTGTCAGGAGGGTTGGACTAGGTGATCTCCAGAGGCTGCTTACATGCCCCTTACGTTACTGTGTGGTTCAGTGACTCATAAGGTGAGCAGGTAGGATGCCTTATCACGTATTTTGCATCAAAACAAGGTAACTCAATTCAACATATTCCTTCTTCCCACAGGGATGTCCGCTTCAAAAGAAGTTAAATTAGTTCGGTTCTCCAAGCTCCAGAAGATGAAAACAAGAAGCACATGCAGAACCTCATATTATCAAATACATAATCATCCAGCAGGTGGAGACTGCAATTAGAAACAGCAGTAAATATCTTCAGGCCATTGTTCTATGTATAGTTTAAGTTTAATGGAAACCATAAGCATTAGAAATGAGAACCTGCGAAAGCAGTTCTGCTAATTAAATAAAAAAAAAAAAGAAAAAAGACTCCTACTGGTAGGTAGCCTAACATGTATTTTTTTGATGGTCTTGAGCAAGTTAAAGATTCCTAACGATACTGTGAATTTTTATCAGGTCTTAATTGTGAAATGCAAAGAGACGTTTGATCAAATGCGCTACATAACAGTAAAATAACAGCCACTAGTAGAGGAAAGGCAAAAGCTTTCTGACAGCAGTTTGATCTGTCTGTTTCAAGCCAGTTTTCACCCAAGCCATTATAATTATAATAGCACCCCTGGATTCTAGCCTAAAGCCATTCTTATCTTTTCCATTACAGGTAACACTAATGCAGAAAGCCTGTTAGCACTCCCCCAGTGCTTCAGGAAGACATGCTGCTGGTTCCCAGAGTAGCAGTTCAACACACACTTCAACTCCAGTACACTAGAACTGAACAATTACAGATACTCTTTTACTTTAAAGTTGAGGAAGCACCTAAAGGCAACCTGCACATTGTCTTGAGAGATTCTTTATATAAAATAATCTGTTATTCCTGAAAGCTAAAGAAAATACTTTTTTCCTTTTGATCTCCATCCATTTTGTTAAAAAATAATCATGTAAGCAAAGCACAATAAATAAGTCCTAAGTCTTCTTTATTTTGACATTCAGCTTCCTCTGTGGCTTCTCGTTGACCAAATGAATAAAAAAAATTGAAGACATTTAAAAACACAGGAGTAGCTCAAAATGAGCTGCAAAGAGCAGGTGAAACTTCTGACATGCTGCTGGCAAGCAACAATTGCAGTTTCTACTACCCTCTCACCCTGGCATACTGCAAAGCTCTCTACAGGACAGCTGCCAGCCTCAAGCACCACCAAGACACCACCACCTGACCTTCCTTCAGTCTCAGGTTGGGTTTTGACTACTGTTGTACCACAACAAACTGAAACCCTATTACGTGAAAAGTGACTGCAGGCTTGTGCTTCTAAAGGAATCTGCAAGCATACAGCATCACGTAAGCATTTGATCTATACTAGTGCATACACTTTTGTCCAAACTTAAGTCAGCGTGACCATGACAGAAGAGCCACACTTCTCCCCCTGGAGTTCAGAGGACCAATTCTCCATTCTTTCATTATTCTGCTCCTGCTGGCAAAAATCTGTACAATCTGACAGAAGAACCAAAGTATCTTTAACGCAGACTACAGAAACATCACAAGTGTCCATGATTGTCATTTTACTGCAACTGTTCATTTAGAAAAGGAAATAAAAATACTCCACCTCGTCAAAGCATACAGAAATTGCATATAAAAAAAATCCCAAAGCAATAGTGGAAAAAAAACACTTCCATTGCAGAACCAACTAATGAGTTCAAAACTGCCAGAAAGTAAGGTGCTCCAATGCCAGCACTACAATTAACCAATCCCACAGGCTTTCCAGTGCCCAAAAGAATCCTGAAAGGGCACTTACATTCACATTCTTGGCCCCAGTACTTGATTTCAAGAACTGAAAATAATCGATACCACTAATTTTATCCCAAACAGAGTCAACTAACACTATTTACAGTTGTTAATACTGAGCTCCATCATTCCATTCCATCTACTAGTCCAGTCATTTCACAGGCTTCCTACAAAGTTTTTCAAGGCTATGTGCTGTAGAACAAACTGATTCTGCTTACTTACAACTTAAACTCCTATTACTTACACACCTAATCTTTCCCCAGATATAATGGTGTGTTTAAAACTGTATTATAAAATTATAAAACTGCTGTCATGCTTGTGGGTAATTTGTTGTTTTGGCTGATCACAGCAATTCAGAAAGAGCCACTCATTTGCTTGGATGAACTCTACTACTGAGGACAGGAGAGGATGCTGTAGGAAGAGCATTATGCAGTATAAGAAAAAATAATGTCCTCTGCTGCAACCCAAAGGGTTTTCTTCAGTATCCTCCCAGGAATCCAGTGGGAAGCATGTCAGCAAGGTGATCTGAGGCAGGACTGACTGACAGAGTTGGCTAGAATATGCATGAAATTGAAAGGTCAGGTAGACATGCATAGGTATACATATTTGGAGGGAAGAGAGAAGGCATCCACTAGCTGTTGTTTGAAAAAAAGAATTGCCCAAGAACAGAAAACTGTATGGTAGAAACTGGCTTAGGTAGACAGAAGCTTCCAACAGTAGGGAATTGGGAAAACTACAAAAAAAAAAATCTAAGTCAAATTTAACAACCCTAATCATAAATATGTGAGGGCCGTGCTAAAATTGCCTAAGTAACTTTAGTTCTGTCACATCTATTTCGAAGCAGTTGATTTTAACCTATTACAAATAAAGTTAATCACAAATGAAGTTAAAAACAGTACGAGTAACTGAACTGTAGCATGTCTGTGGTTTGTTTTTTGTTTTCAAATCTGTTACACCAACTTACCTACGTCAATAAACTATTATCTGACAGGAGCCACTAAAACACACAGCACACAAAATACTGCACTTGTTAACTAAGCTAAACAATTTTCATTAGCTTTGGTTTTCAGCAAAGTAATACTTACAAAGTCAGCTGGGAGGTTGAGTTTATAAAGCTGTAAAATTGATTGCAGTAAACTGGATACTTGACTTGACACCAAGACATCTTTGCCTAACTTCATATTGTCCATCATTTTTCTCTGGCTTGTAGCTACTTGTACATTCCATTTATCTGTGTCTGCAATGATACAGACAGCTTCTGCTATTGGTTCATCTAGCACTGGATGCTGCAATAGATACAAGACAAACATTATGCCATGCTTGCATACATGTTTCCACAACTTAGTTTGCTGCCCCACTTTCATTCACGTTGTGGCAAGGGATAATAAAGTGATCCAAATGAATGTTTTTGTCCAATAGGAAAACAGAATTATCTCAAGAGAAATGAGACAGAATACCAGTTTCAGAGAGAGAGTTGACATCCAGTAACACCGTTAAGTATAAGCTGTCAATTTGATAAAGGCATTTAAATAGTTTTTTTAGTAGAGCTTCAGAATCTCAACTCCAATACTTTTTCTTCACTAATGGTATTCCAGCTTCAATGAAAAAGTTCTTTCAAAAGGAATGGGGTATTAGTTACACTGATGCAGCTGTAACGAAAGTAAATTTGATGTTTCACCTTTGTCAGGGATTTCACTATGCAGAACAGAGATAACGTGTGCACAAAGAAACAGTGTCATATTAAAGCAATTTGACATTTAAAAACAAATTGCACACGTCACCATTTTGGACACTGCACTGAAGTCACTCCAGCAGGATAACTCTTAACTGCTCTGTAAAGAAGCAGTGAGCAATCACTAGACAAATATGTAAAATTGCACACTAGATGCACTCAATGTTACTTTAGTGAAGGATAAATTAATCATTTGGTGTACCTAAGAGTAAGAATATCACAAAGATCTTATCTGCAGTCAACTAACTTTATTTAGTAAGTCAGTCATTCCTGCTACAGTCTAGTACAACACAAGCTTCCACAAGACTTATCTGCCTTGCAACAAATGCCACTCAGTGGCAAGCTGTCTCCAACAGCTCACTTAACACCTTCATAAAATACAGATAACTGCCTCTAATTGTGACTGAAAATAAGTGGTTTTGCAGATATTTTTTTCCCTTGTAACTTCAAGCTGCAACCATTTTTCCCTGTGTTTATCTTTTAAGGGAAAACTGAAGAGAATACGAGGAAAAAAAGTGATTCTTGTGTGAATAGGTTTCTCATGCAGTGATTTAAGGAGCTTTCTTTCAAGAAGGATGATGTGTCAGGTGTGGCTGTTAAGAACCAGCAAACAGAAAACAAAGCAAGTTCTAAAGTATATAAAATAAAATATAAAAAATAAAGTATATAAAATACCACGTTGCTGGAGCTTCTCAGTAATACCAGCAACTTCCGCTATGACTCAGAGCAGTACTTCCACTCACATGCATTGCATGAAGTAGGTCAGCTAGTAGACACTGCTTCAGTTTTTCATCATTGTTTACTCCATGCAGCACTAGATCAGGCACATAGGTATGACAGTAACCACCTAGAAGTGATCTCCCAAAGTTTTTCACACACTGTCTGCTGACTGTGTTTGACCTGAAATAAAAAAAAATAGAAAGCAGCTAGGATTCTTGCTTGACAGACTCCATTCAGATTATAACAATGTTTGATTAACCCCCTCCGCTTGGTTTCACTGCAAATTTTAATAATTTTACTAAAAATACTGTGAATCAATTACTCTTTGAAACCATAATTTTGTAACTTCAGTGCTGTACTGATTCCTTCAAATTTCAGAAAAGGCAAATCTACATGCACTGGAACTTGTGATATCTATGATCCCTGCCTTACTGTGTTTAACAGGTTTGCTAAATTTGAGTTCTCAAACTCAGCTCAAGCAGCAAAAATATCTTTCTAGCTACTTAACATGCATCAGGAAGCTCCACGTGCATCTGTAAAGATCAGAGGTTTTCAGATGGGATGCTCTTATTCAAAGTTGCATTTAGTCATCATCAGTTTTAGCAACATTGAAGTTTGCTTGTCTTCAAATAGGACAGCCTACACCAAGTGTTTCAGGCAATTAGCCTCATCACTTTCATTAAACATCTGAAGAACACGGTCAAAAAAGTTCACTGCAAATGACAGCTTGGTCTTGGTCATCTTTTTGAAATACACTACCTGGGTCTGTTATGGATTTGTTTGCAAGCAACTTAATCAACACCCCAGCAGGCTTCAGACTTGAAATCCTGAACACCTTTAACGTACCAACAGCTTTTGACTCCCCTCAAACTCCTTTACCTTGGTAAAGGAAGTTCCACTTCTGCAAACTCTTCAGGTCGCTTGCTGACGTTATCGTGACGCACTCCATCAGGAATACAACAGTCACCTTCTTCGTCGCTGGCTCCGAGAGCACTGTCTGAACTCTCATTCCTTGGAATGTCCCCCTCAACTCTGAAAGGGGTTTTTCTTCTAGCATCCCCACAGGGGACATCTTTAGCACCTAGTTTAGGGGACTCTTTTTTGACAGCAGAAGAATCTACCTCTACACAGCCTGGCGAATAGCTCTCCAGCTTGCCAGAGCATGAAGTTCTAGTTTCTTTTACGCTTGGCAACGTTACAGTTTCTACGTTATCAACTGACAAAAGTAGTTCACCCGAAACTGTGTTCTTTAAATTTACTTCAGTTCCTTTATTTTCCATATGTTGGTTATTAAGCATACTCCCCTGCCCCTCACAAGATGAGATCCGTGCATAACAAACACTATGCTTACTGTATGGCAAAGAGGCAGCTTCACAGCTTTCTTTTTGATTCTGGGAAGCACCCACAGTCAGATTTGTAGAACTGGAGGCACAGTGTATTATTACCTCTGGATTTTTTCTCAATACCTTCAGATTCTCTTCCATTTCTCTCCTTCGAGTTTCTAAGTCTGACTCTGGTGATGCAGAGCTTCCAATCCGAAAGGTGACCTTTTCTAAATGTGAACTCCTGTGGCCAGACCTTTCAGGACAAGGTAAAGCAGACGACCTACCAGACAACCGCTTTTCCACTTTTCTTCCGTTCTGGCTTTTGTTCTTCCTTACATCCGTTACATCCTCCAAACTAGATGGCTCTTCAAAGTGGCAGGGCACAGTTCCTGTATCAGCGACAGCTCTTTCCCCACTGTCAGTTGCTCCTTTATGTAAAGTGCTAGTTAGACCGTCGACAGATGTTTCAGAATTCTGACCGACTTGTCCTATTGTTTCTTTCTTTTCTTTTGAAGAGGCTGGCACAGTGCAAGTGCCTTTTGGGTTATAGACCCACTCTGCAACAGTATGGTTCTTACTTGGATCATTTTTTGGAGGTAGGATTGGAGGCACAAGAGCAGGTTCATTTTTGACAGTGACAACGACATAGTCAGACTCTTCTATCTCTCCTTTCTCTAGCGCAGTTGTGATCTTGCTTCCATTTAGCACTTGTTCTTCTTCTCCAACTGCCTCACTCCACGTCAGCTGATTTTCCTGTAGCTCAGAGCACCGAATGAAGTAAGTTAGAACATAGAGCAAGCGCTGCACCAACTCTTTACGTTTCCCAACAACAACAGTTCGAGTCAATCTAACCGGAGAGCCTATGGCACCATAGAGATCACCTAGACAGGAAAATAAGAATGTCACATGGAATTCATTTTGAAACAGCATTCACTACAGACACAAACAGACAATTTATTTCATGGTCATTTGTAGGAGCCTAAAGCACAGAATAACAAAAGAAATCCCTCCACATTTCCCACACCTGGTTCGCATCCAGAAGGTTTCTGCTGTTCTTGTGAGGGTTTGGCTGCTATTATTCAGTTTCTTCCTGTTCAGGTTTTTATTTATAAAATGGTTACAAGATATTATCATGTAGAAATTGACATAACAGATGGTGAAGAAGAAAAAAAGTCTCTCTCTGAAGCCAGCTACGCTATTTCCTAATTCACTGCTAGCTATTTTTTATTCCCCTCACAAAGATACTCTGTTTGATTGCAGTCACTTTTTCTTCCCCTTTCAGTTAAACATATAGACTCTATCTATATGAGAACTTGTATCTTTCAGGACTGAGATATAAAATAAAAAACAGAGAAAGATCCAGTATCAGTTTAATAAATGAGATTAAAATAAAATAAAATAAGCCCTTCCTTACTGGGCAAGGCACATGTGCTTCTGTATGTTAGCGAGGTTGACTCCAAGTAGGAACCTTTTACTTTGGCAGAGAGCAGAGGAGGACTAGGGGATATATTCACTATTCAAAGCACAACTATAATGTGAAAGGTGGGTACTAGGACATAACCTGAAATAAAAATGCTCCTTTATTCCAAAAGAAAAAACAACCACTGTATTCTACTTTCAATACCTTCGTTGTGAAGACGTATTTATCTTCCAGCTGCCTATTATTTTCTATCAGCTGGAGGGTTTCCACCCAATGTTCTGAGAGAAATAAACATAGGCAAACAGCCAATAAGGCAATTTTTGCATACTCTACTATAAATAAAGATGAACTAACTCAAGACACGTGCACTGCCTGTTAACACAGCAGATGGGAAATTGCTACCAAAAGCTCTATTTTCTATAGGCAATCTAAGTGTTCACACTGAAACCCAGTTTCTCCAGTTTGGGCTTTGTAAGCTGCCAGCTAACTTAGATTAGTGCTCTAAGTACTGAGTACTTACTGAGGGCTGCTCATATGTTCTGAACCAAGTATCCCGCCAGAATTCTTGTACAGACCTCATGAAAGAGCATTAAATGAGACAATCATACCTTTAGAAAGATTTCTACCAAGAGCAAGAGTAAATGTGGTTTCAACGTGAGGAAGGCAAAACAGTGAAAGAAAGTGCATGCCTAACCTCCTGTGAGCCATAAAGGACTCAGAAGCAATAAGGCTCCTGACTTCATTCCTGCAGGAGAAGCATCAATGAGACAGTTGTTCCACCACTCTCACTTGCAGTCTCCCCTGCCAAGATCTGTCAATTCCCATGATGCAAGCAATGCACTGGAGAATAGAGGCACTGCTAATCCTGTCCTCCCCCAGGTAAGGGTGCTCTTGCATACAGTCCCACAGATTAACATGCAAGGACATTGATTCCTCAGTATTGCAAACTGAGCTACAGACTATGCAATTGGAATTTCATTAAAATCAGTGCCAGGCAGGCCATGAGGGCTAGCAGTTTGGCAAGGCCATAGAAGATGTTTTCTTTCAAGTTGAACACAGTTACTACGGAAATCAGATTCAAGCTTTGTGTTCATTTGCACAATTTACTTTAAATGTGACGTTAATAAGACAGTAAAACTCAAAACTGCAGTCATCAAAACATACAATTGTGAAGCACATTAGATTGAAGATGACATTTAAAAGACTGTCTTATTTACAGTTGTACCAATATGTAATTGCAATCAGTACATAGTGGGAACATAGCTTTGAAGGTGGAAAAAGCAGGTACATAAAAATACTCGACAAGAAATCGTTTCCATTTTAAAGCCTTAGGCCTCATAATTATTTTTTTTTCCCCCCCTTTCTAAAGAAAGAGACCAGCAGAGGGCAACATCTTACTTCGCACATCAGCTACTGCAACCACTCGATACTACTACTGGGCTTTGAAAGAACAAAACCAAGTCAGAAAACATTTTGAGAGTTCATCTGGGCTGGTAGCAACACACAGCTTAGGATGGCAAGAGGAAGAAACCATTTCTTGACAAGTCACCTGCCGTACCTCTGGGAGTCACCATAAGACCCACTGCCCACTTCACACCTGCACTTCAGCTTGTTTACCTCCAGCTTGGCTTCATCCTCAACACCCTGAGCAAGCTTCTGTCTTTTTCCTCCCTGGGAAATCTAATCCATTACTACTCTGTGTTACCTTTTAAAGACATGCTACAACAGGAAACAATTCCACAACTACATCTCTGAAGTAACAATTCTTAGTTTCTCAATGACTGCGGAGAACTAAGCTAGACAATAAGCAAGAAAGAGCTGATAGCCCACAGTGTGCCCATGTGTTACTTCATATGCCAATACAATACATCATTTAAAGTTAAGGCTGATGTGATGCAAAATTCACACCTGCTGCCCAGACCACCAACAATTCTGCTGCCCACCAGAATTTTCAAGGTTTGATCACTGGCAGCATTATTCTCTCAGCTCTCTTTCATCTACTTGTTCGACATAATTAATCCCCAGTATCAAGATAATTTGTAAGCTGTGTTATGTTAGAGAACAGAGCGAGGAGCTGGGCATAAAGAGAAATCCTATCCCAAGCCCCATTCCTGTAACTCTGAATGAATGGAGGCACTGCTAGTTGCTAGACTTTTTCTCTGCCTCTTGGTGTCCGTGCTGGCTCTATGAAGAAAAGGGGTGCCTGGACAGTCCCAACTGTATTCTCTCTATCCAGCCTATTTCCTTTTATTCTTCCCAGGCTGTTCAGGTCATTCCCAGCACTTGCAGCCTTCTGAAGATGTCTAAAGAAGTTACCTAACCAAGCAGAGTTACCGAGAACAACTGAGAAAACCAGGCCATACTAACAGATGTCCAAATACACTTGCTTAGCTTGATTCAAGACATCCGTTTGTAACTCTGCCCAGCTTATACCAAAGAAAATCAGCAAATGTCATCCGGACTTCTATTACCACTCAAATTCCTCAAGTCAGTGGCAGAGGACAGCAATGACAATGAAGCTCAGCCATAGCAGTCCAGGTCTAGCCTGAGAAACAACACCTGATTTTAACACGACACGGAGGAATTCACGCTTCCAAGCAGCTTACGGAAGAGGAGTGGATGTTAGTCATAGAGAAAACTGAAGCTTTCAAATTTTCACTGACCAAGCTGTGCCCAAAGAGGGTTATATGGATGGGATTTTGCCAGCATGTTCACAAACTGCGAAGTACGCTTCTCAGAGAAGGCCTTTATAGGAGGATGGTCAACTGGCATTACTGTTGGGACCCAAGCCAGGTGATACGTCAGCACCGCAGTTAACAAAGCAGCAAAGAACCTAGGAAAAAGAAGATAACGTGACCAAAGTAACACTGGTAAAGAACATCACATTAAATGCTTGAACATATCCACGTGCCCTGAGTAGCACACAAGCTCTCAGGAAATATCACTGGTGGGAGGTATGGAGTGGAAGATTAAGCTTACTGGTTTTTGTTGATCTGTTCTATCAGAAATGTGAATTCTTTAAGAAAACGCTGGCACAGCTGGTTCTTTTCCAGGGTATTGGACATCATATTAAGCCACACCGGCTCTGCAATCCTTGGAACAGAATATAGGTTCCAGATGGTAATTCTGCTCAAAAAAAATAAAAGAAATCCCCCCAAAATCAGGTGTTAACATGTACATATCAAATTTGCAAATACAAGTAGAACATTTTCTCTTCTGTTGTCCAGTGCTTTTTATTTATGTAAAAGCTAGGAGACAGAAAATGTGATTGCCTGGAAAACATCTCCAATTACCAGTGTCCCACAAAACTAGTCCATTCAAATCTGTGTGCAAATAGCAGTGTCTTCATACAAATCACATCTCCTTCTTCTCTTGCATTCCTCTGTGAATTTGTATTTAGAGAATGAATTTGTACTTAGAGAAGTGCAAATCATGTACTGTGGGGGGAACAACATTCTATTCGTTGTAGCACTTTCATCCCATGTTCTGGACTTCCAGAACCCACATTCCACCAACGCCTTGTCTCTCTGTTGGCCTGCCTTCCTTCAAGTGTGATTGTCCCTTTCTCCCCCAGGTATCAAAAAGAAGTTCACAACAACTTTCCTGTCAGTTCCACTGCCCAGCATCTAGTTAGGAGTAAACAAGTGATCTGCCTGAATGTAACAATCAATCCACTTGTCTGCACAGACATCAGCAAAAGTCAAATCTTGACAAAGTCTTCAAGAACTGACAGTCCAAAGTGCAATTGAGCAAAACAAAGTCTGTTTCACTTTCCTTCAGAAAAAGGCTAAGACAGTTTTGTTTAAGTTCTCTAAGAAAAATTTATGCCATACTCAGCACAAAATCACAATAAATTCAAGACCGGTTAAATTACAAAACCCTGCAACCAATTGCTTATGATTCAAAGTGACAAATATCTTTAGAGACGTGTGAGAACAGCTCTCCTTGTAAGTCAGAATTCCATCAACTCACCTGAATTCTCCCAGGGCATCCATGACACGGCTGATATAAACCTGCACTCTCTGGCTGGATTCTGCTATTTTTCTACATGAGATCATGGCCTTGATTAAGAGTTAAAGACACAAAACAGCTTCTTAAAGGACTGGCATTCTTCATTTTTTAAGCTTCATAAACATGTCAAAATAATTGAGATCTAGCCCCAGTGTTATGCAGCCACTCAGGACAGCAATGGCTGCCAACCTCCCTCCATCTGGTCATGAAAGACCAATCCTAGAACTAAACAAGGGGAGATAATAACCCATTGCTGATAGTAAGGGGAAGGCAGCAACACAAATTTGGTGTCACTCTTTTAGTAACAGCGGGAAAAGAATAGAACATCATTTCCACAGTCTCTGGGGAGTCAGGACAACCTCAGTGAAATATGACTAGAACAAAAGAAAAGGCACCCATAGCAGAAAACTCTCCATTTTCATTCTGACTAGAAAGGAAACCACACCTCCTTTTCAGCAAATGCTAAATTCCAACACTGGGCACAGGCTCAAGACTGCATGGATAAGGAGGGAGGGAAGCTTCAAACCACGCATCTCCCACTCTTCATCTATCAGTCTCTAGAATTCTTCCTTCTGTTCGACACTTGTTTTCACATTAAAAGAAACCAGCGTTCTGTACCTTTTCTATTGCATACTTCAGTTTGTTCATGTGGGATTCAAAAAGAGGGAAGTGAGAGAAAAAGAAATCTTGGAAGTTCCTCTGAGCATCTTCTTTTTCAGGCAGGGAGAAGATTATGCTGATGGCAATTTTTTTCCTCCGGACCATTGCAGGATTGGAGCTGCAGCTCTCATCAGCCATACTAAACATTTCTTCAGTTGACCTAAAAAATAATTGTTTTGTTTTTGTTTTTTTGGAACAGTTAACTAAGTACAGATAAGTCATTTGTCTTCTATCTTTAGCTCTATACATTACAAAGAAATTTATTCTTTGGTCTCCTTTGACTATTTACATAAACCTGAAAAAAAACTATCTTTACGTGTATTATACCAGTAAGTAGAACAATATTGTCCAAATTTCTTTTGGAAGGAATGTTTTAACTGAAAAACTGCTTTTAATCCACACTGAGGAACTATAAGGAGAGAACTGTAAGTAAAGACAAGAAAAAGCCACAGGAACAGGAACACATTCGTAGCAGCAGCTTTTAGAGAAGTAGCTTACTTCTGGACTTCGTTTGGGAGTGAAATCTACAATGTCAGTGTGCAATAATTAAATGCTTGAAAGCTTTCAATATCAAAATTATCTTGAAATGAAACTTGTCACATTTCTAAGCCACTGTGGAGCAATTATTAAGATGAAAGCCTGAATCCTAAGCTTTCTTTCTAGGCTTATTCTAAAAATAAGTGCTTTACAGTTTAATTGGTTTATTAAAGCTATATACACAAAAGTTTCTCACCACAAAAGGTACAAGTCCAGGAATACAGGAAAAAATAAACAAAACAAAACCCCAGCAAAAACAGTCTGTGGGAAACTGGAGCTCAAGACAAAAACACAACCTCATTTGAACTTCAGGAACTTGCATGCAGAGACAAAATTCCCAAGGAAGTTTGGAAATGATGGGTCAGTGAACATCTCAGAAACATCACAAGTATTTGTACTGCTTCCCAGGAACAGAAATGGAAGAATCGCAGGCTGCAAGAAAAGCCTTTCAACAAAGCAGCTGATCTAGCTTGTCTGCCAATGGCCACACGAAGTTCCAGCCACACATCTCATTTTCTGAGCTATTGGCCTAAAACATCACTCACTGAAACTGTAGAGTCTTGGCTGTACAAACTGAAATGCAAGCTCTGTTGTCATTGAAGTATTCAGCCAGAAACCTACTGTTTCTCCACCAAGTGACTGTAAAACAAGTATTACAAAGAGGCCTTTTGGCACAGAAAGAACCCCCAGCCAAAGGTAATTCCAGACAGTTGAACTAATAATGCCCTGTTTCTGAGATCTTTCTACAGCATGGATTCTCCAACACAGAATAAAAACAAGCTATTCCCACTAGTGAATAACAAGCCCAGTAGGAGTGGGGTAGTGTTTAAGTAAGTTCTTTACAGAGAGAGTGGTGAGGTGCTGGAACAGCTGCCCAGAGAGGCTGTGGATGCCCCATCCATCCCTGGAGGTGTTCAAGGCCAGGTTGGATGGGGCTCTGGGCAGCCTGGGCTGGTATGAAATGGGGAGGTTGGTGGCCCTGCATGTGGCAGGGGGTTGGAGATTCATCATCCTTGAGGCCCCTTCCAACCCCGGCCATTCTGTGATTCTGTAACAGTTCAGTGAACAATCAGCCCACTTTCCTTTAACACGTTTTATTTTTCTAACACTTCAACAACACTTTCTGTTTCTTAATGTATTGGATTCAATTATTTCAAAGAGGAAATAATTCATTTTCCTCTCAATGTTTTAACTTCTTTTGCATATACGCATAGCCTTATTGCTCTAGGAAACTAGACAAATAATATTTCCATTTACTGAAAGCAAAATGTTTGTTAGCTCATTCTCAACTGCAAGTGTGATTGATTTAGAAAGCATGATCGCTAAGTGAGCACAACTGCACAATTAACATTACAAATATTTCTGCAAGAATACCCAAGAAAAGGGTTGAAAGGGTTGCAAGTAAGAAAAGCAGTGGACTCTGAAGGACATATTTCAAACTGGGCTTTTCAAACAAAAGGTGTTTTTGACTGACTGCATTTCAGCCAGCAGTTTTTAAGATTCTCCTAATCAAAGACAGCAAAGAGAGACAAGCCAATTAGTAGAAACTGCTCACAGCTCTCCACTAATTCCACACTGTCTCTGGGTGCAGGTAGACCAGCACACATGAGCAGATAATCAAGACTCATTCACTATTTTGCAGCTGACAAGCACATTCTTGTCTTATTAGCTACAAAAGATGTGCTGCATTCCATGCTTTGTTGTGCCACTGAGCTGTAAAAGATATTAAAATTCCAAAACAGAAGCCAGTCTTTTTTTTGTTTTGTTTTGTTTTTAAATCACAGCTCTTTTCCTCCTCCTGTTTTGGCAGAAGTCACACCTGAACCAGCCACTACTTGGCTATTACTCCAAGATCTCAGTAAACGCTCAGTAGTCAGACTTCATCATAACGTAGCATAATTAAGGCAGAGGTGTTGTTACAGGCTTTCATCTCAATTGATTGTTCCTTCAGAAACAGTTTACTTTCCAGAATGAGGTCTTCTGACACAGCCTATCTATTCATTAAAAATGAGTATACTTCAAATCAGGCCTCGTAGCTCACATTCAGTTAAAATCTTTCCTCCTATAGGCAATCTTACATAATAAGGACAAGTCAGAATGAATTGCCAGTATTTTTTAAACCACAATGTCTCACTTTAAAGAAAAGAGGCCTGAGATCTATTTAGCTTAAATTATTACCAAGCAACTGTGGGAAGCAGAAAGGTGTGATACTCACCATCTTGGAATAATTCCATTCTCTAAACTGGTTGTCTGACTTCGGAGCCAACGACGTTGATAGCTGCTAGAAGATGATGATGAAGAGCTTGGAGATGGAAAAGGGGTAACCAGAAGACTGCTCAGAGATGCTATCAAAAAAAGAAGGGAAAAAAGCAAACACATACTGAATTATACCGAGTGTCAGTTAAACACTTTTCCTTATACATTGCCTGGGAACAAATTCACACAAATATTGTTCTTGTTTGCTGATCTTTGTGATACAGCTAGAATAGTTTTCATTTCACTCACTGCAAAAAGTGGCATGATTATTTTCAACAACTATTCTCATCTTAGGACATGCTACTTACAGGGTCAGAGATCTTCCCTGCTAGAACAAACTAAAAGCAGTCTTATTCTCAGTAAAAGTATTCTGAGATAAGAGGTGCTTGCACTCCCATTAGACTAGATAGACCTCTTGGTTTCTCAGCCTCCTCTTTCTGCTCTGTGCTAAATTCTCTTCTCTTCCCTTGCTAAAGCAGGATGTTCCAGCCAGTTCTTTCTATGCTTATAAACTGGTAAAGAGCCAGAAAGTCATAGCTAAAAAACATATATATATATAATCACGAATATTCTTGCATAAAGGCTTATGACAAAAGCAGAAAGAAAACTCAACAGATGCTAGAAGACTGGATTTCAGTTCTTAAGGCACCTAAATTCCAGGTGATCCTACAAGTCAAAGAACTGCAACATCATGTCAAAAGTAGGCAAACAAAACAAACAGCAGATACCTGACCGAGCAATGCCGCTGTCTCTGTCCTCATTTTGTCCTCTGCTGGGCATATCGACAGGTGTACTATGAGCTAAAACAAACAGATCAATACAAAAACCTTATTTAATTTGTTGCATTATTTGTCAGCGTTAAAAAAGAATGTTTAAGATTAAAGGTCAGAAAATACTCAAGTTACATCCTGAAAAGATACTTCAAATAAGCAATATGTTGGGAGCAGAGGCAGTAGCAAACTCCACGCTCCATACTCATTTTATTTTACCAGAGGAAATGAGTTACTTACCCAATCTAAAACTTTCTCTAACAAGCTTAAGAATGTGAATTCTCTTTCACCAGAAATCAGATCCACTTTGATAAAGTGGACAGGTGGTACTCCCACCTGTTAATCTTGACATTTGTTTTGTGTGCAAGATTGTAATTTTACAGAAGTCAGTGTTACAATGGAACAGCCAAACATGAGGTCCCTTAAGCTCCTGATTCCCTCTCCAGGCAGTAGATTTATTAACTACAAAGTCTCACGGGTAAGAAATATTCACTTTGTTGTGCTACGTTGAGGTGTTAGTAGTGGAGTCACCAGAATTGTAGAGCATGCAAGATTTGCAAAGGCTGTGAAGAAATGCATTGGCATTTTAGTTCACCTTGTTCTTTTTAACCACTAACAAAACTAATTAAGCCCAGTATCTACCCACCTGCATGGATCATCACAAGGCTGTAAAAGGGCACTATGTGAAGCAGTCTTAATTTTTGGAAAATTAAAAGAAACTGGTATTGTAAAAACCATAAAGCTGCTGACACTTAGCTCAAGAAGTAATACTGAAAGCCCTCTGTCACATATATATATCTATATATATATTATATATATGTTATAATAGGTACATTTTTGGGGGGAAGGGGAGAAGTAGTAAAGCACAAAAAAAGAAAAAGCAAGACACCTCCACACTAGCAAGAAATCAGCCATAAAGCAGGAAGGCAGCAGTTCTCTAAGAAACGTAAGGGCTCATTCAATATTAGATGCACTGTACAAAATAAATATTGGAATTATAAAGAAAAGATGAAGAAAAAACAATTAATCCATCTAGGTTTTTCTGTTTGGTTGGTTGGTTTTTGAAGAAAAATTTTGAGTATAGAGCCAGATCTCTGCTGGCTTTCACATCTCAGCCCTTTCTATTTCTAGAGAGCGATTATGCATTCTTTGCAAGGATTCAGAAAGAGCTGAATTTGTGTGTGCTTATGGATGGGTCACACTTTGGTTGGCATTCCACACAAACCTGCAAAGAAAGAAGCGCTGCGGATGAGCCGGAGGGGACCTCCTTCAGACACACCCTGCAGCAGTTTGCTGCTACACAGCTGTAACACACCTAGGAAACAAAAGCAATGTAGAGAAAATACAATGCAAAGGGAAAAAAAAAAAAGAAAAAAAAAGGTGATGCACAGGAGAAACAAAAAAAAAGAAACCAATCCTAAATGAACAGATGGTATCACGGTATCAGAAAGACACAGAATATGGGAATGTTTACCTAAATTACTTCCACTGCGACAGGTACCCAAGCCGTTCTGATGAGAGCTCAGCTTTCCAAGACTGGGATCTTGGTTAATGTATTCAAAGCTATCCTGTAGGCTATAAGAAAACCAAGTGAAAAGCAGGAAGTTTCTAACTTGATCAACAGTCATTAATATCAGCTTGAAGAGTAGGTTCTCTTTATATAAAAAAAAGAAAAGCTGAAGATTAATTTCACAATAAAACTGAAGGAACCAGTACGTTTTCCTGAAACTAAAAGGAAATAGTGATATTCTATGTAAATTCCCCTCTTCAAATCACCCATGGGCTTGAGTTTATTTAAATTTGCAAGTTTTGAGACAAGAAGGGAACAAGTGAGAAACAGTACCTCTTCTGTTAATGTTAAAGGAAACTGAATGGACATAAAGCTACTTCAACATACAGGGTGGCATGCTTCTAGCAGCAGGAAGAGACAGAAGTTTTGAAACTATAAGTAATCTCTGGAGCTCGTTGCCTTGGATAAAGTTAGCAGCAGGAACTACATTTTCCTTTTTTTGGAACTTGAATAGCCTGACAGACATCTATGGAGTCAACACTTCTTGGCAATACAGCCTCCACTTTCAGTTTTCTACATCTTTCCACTTGAGCTAAATCAACTTTAAAAGCAGTGACAGAAGATCTACAAAAAGAAAGGCGAAGGAAAGACAAAAGCATTGGAGAGGAAACAGGGTGCCAAGGAAAAAAAAAAAAAAAAAAAAGGATGTTCTTACTTGTTGTTGCTTCCACTGAAGCTTCCTACCCTGGCTGAGAAGACTTTACTTATCATCAGCTGTGGGGGAGAGCTGAAAGGATAAACAGCCATTTCAGTGAGTCATCAGTTCCAAGCACATGACAGAGCACACCACAGAAAAGGACACTCACCGTATGTAGTGAATTTTCAAGGTGGAGCCTTTGTAACTCATTGCCACTGAGCCAAACATCATTTCTCCCAGCATATTGACGTCAGAAGCTGGTCTGGTGTACTGCACAGTCAAGAAGGGAAGAGTCAGTAGTGACTCTTTCAATATTACTTCAATTTCAAGTAGTGTTATAACGATAAATTCTGCACGGAGAATACAAACAAATTCTTCTTTCCCATGAAAACTAAGATCTGGTGAGGTTCTCACACAGTGAATTCAAGTACAATCAAGGACAGTGAAGTTACGGTTGATTTTGCTCACAAAGGGTTCACTGTTACACTTCTTCCTGGGGTGACTCCAGAAAGAAATAAGGCAATTTACCATACTTCTGAAGTAAACAAACAACACCAAAGAAAACCAGCTTCATGTCCAGCAACATTCCTATATAACAGTGTTAAAAGAACTGTAGATGCTTGCAGGATCCAGATCCTGTGGCCTGGATCCCCAGGTATCAAACCATCTTACTGATTTAAATTTTTAAGTACTTCTTCCCAGCCCCCACAGAAAGCTTCCTGGAAGCATCTTCAATCAGAAAGTATTTTGTGAAGACTGTTTCTAAGCACAATCAGACTGATTACTTCTCATGTTTCCAAGACTGATCATCAACAGCAAATATTGAGAGAAGGTTGTCAATTCTGAAGGAAGTTTACCTTCTATTTAAATATAGTTCTACCCTGATCTGTGGATGCTTCAAATTGTATTTTACTAGATGAAATACTTACGCTTTCACTGAAAGACAGCTAGAATACCTTAAAAATAGTTATGCTAAGAATTTCATGTTGCAGTAGGATGTATCAAGAGTCCCTTTGGTCCATGCTCAACAACTTTTTTTTGTTTGTTTGTTTGTTTTTACAGCTGACCTGAAGCACAGTCATATTTATAAGAACAGATGAATGTCCAGGGACAATTTCCTATGACTTTCAGAATACTGCTATGAAGTACTTCTGTACTGCCTTCACAGATAAGGCCAAGACAGAATAATACCTTAAGATATGTCCGTGCATTCTTACTCAGCAACATTTTAAAGATAATCACGAGCTTGAGCTATTACTCAAACCTGTAATATACCGTAACTACAGGTTCAGCCCATGCAAGTTAAAGCCTCTTTATATGAACTTCTTCAGTAAAAGAGATAAATACAAGAAAAGTAACATTACCTGATACTTTGGTATTTGCTCTTTGACATTTTGCGTAACACTTATTGAGAGATCATGGGAAGAAATACTGCTGTTCCCACTGCTTGCTTGACAGGTCCTGACAGAAGTCTTCACAGGAGCATCCTCTGCCATTTTCTATGTCAAAACAGGGCATTGCAACGAAAACAATCAAAACAAATATGAAAATCCTCATCTGTAGAAATACCATGACAAAAGCTTTTCCTAAAACACATTTCCAGCAACAGAAACAAAAGTAATTATTTGGTCCAAAATGCACACACCAGTTTCTAAAGACAAAAAGGCCCACGAGACAGAGAAAGTGGTTATCTCACATTTAGATCCTCACACAAATTTCCACAGTAACACAGAATAATTAGGCAAAGCCATATTGGAGCAGCATTCCCAATTGTTATGAACACACGCTCTGTGTAATGTTTGCCAGAGTTTATGTAAACAAATCTCAGCTTATGAGTTGCTTATAAACCAACTTCTCTAACCATCTGCACAATTAGTCACTAACTGTCGATTATTCTTGCTCCCTGATCAACAGATCCTTGAACAGAAGACAATAAAAAACAAGGAATACAACACATCGTTTTGTAGAATCAGCTCTTAGTTCAACCTGAATAGGAGTTACTAAAACCAATCTAATGGATGCTCAGACAACTGTTTAAGTTCACTCTCAAGTCACACTGACACAACCTCCTAGAACTGATCAAAACAACGTAATGGAAGCCTTGGAAAAATGTCCATTACATTAATACTGTTTGTATATGTTTCATAAGAAAAGATGCATTTAATTCATGGAATTTTCTTTCAAGAAGTTTTCTTGAACAAAAGAAAAAATGACGTTTCCAATTCCCTGATGTTTTTCCTTCTTTACATTTAAAGTCAAGGAGATTAGTTAAGTCAAGGAGAAAAGTTAAGGTGACCAGATCACAACAAACATTTTTCGCACGCACTTGAAGGGAGCAAAACTAACCTTGCAATGAAGACTGCTTACACTGCCCTAGAAACCTATCAACTGTACATCCCAGAAATTTTAAATGTGTTAACAACAGTACATTGGGGATATGTTAACGTAAGCATTCCTTCCTTTAGTGCACATTAAATTGAAGGGCACTTTTATCCATCTCATTTCAACACAGTTTGTACTTCGTTGGGAATATGCACTGGCAGAGGTCGAGTTAATTAGGTTTATTTTCTTGTAGGAGACTACATTAACAACACTGAAAAGAAATTGAGTATTTAAAACAAACGTATGGTTAAATGGAATATAAATCTGCTAGTTACCCCAGGTAAGTTGATGGCATTGTCTGCTTTCCAGCTATGCATTTGAAAACCTGATGTTAAAAGGTATACTGCATTTCAACAAGGTGGGTAAATGCACAGTATATACACAATCTTGACTTCAGTTTAAACAGAACAGACCTTAAGAGCATTCTCTTATATTTGATCAAATCAATTTCTAGGTTCACCAGTAACACAAACGTTTAAGAGTGATCTTAACATTTTTCTTTTAAAAGTGCACCTAGACCAGTGTTTGCCTAGCAAATAGACAATGTTCTTTGTCATCTTCTATGAGAAAGGTTACAATCTGCTTTATGCCAGTGTTGCACAGCTTTATACAAAACATTTTGCAGCTAACCTTTGAAGTGATAAAAGCAAGCAAAACAATGTGTGCCTTTAAATGGAGCCAGAAACATTTCTTCCATTCATTTACTTCCCACATGTTACGTGTTCTAAACCAACTTGAAGATATAAGCTAAGAGCCTGGATACTTGGATTCTTATCACAGTGGGTGGTGGAGGGATTAACAGACCAGTCTGACCCACATACCCTCATAAGAGGATGATCAGTCATCAGCTGATGATGCTCATCAGTCTGACTGATTTGGAACCATTATGTATTTGCAGAATGAAGTTGTCTGAAATTGCTGGTTTTGTTAAACATCTGCGAAAGTAATTTCAACAAGTCACAGCTATTTGGGTATAGCTCGTGATTCAGTGTTGGTCTGCTGGATTAAAACTCCTGAATTTAATAAAGACCTCTGAATTAAAAAAAAAAAAAAAAAGAAAGCAGAAAAGAAACAGAGTTAACATAGGAAAAAAGCCATATATTAGTTTTCTTTATCTTCCAATATCACCAAATTTTACCTGAAATGTTCTTTTCATTCACATAAAGCCAACAATTCTGCTAATCTAAACACCAAAGCAAGTCTAGTACATTTAGAGACATGCTAGACATCACTGGAACAACAGGCTTGAACAACAAGAGCTAACAACTAAGCCAAACCCCATCCAACACTGAAAAGGTTGAGGTAGTACTCAATTTAAAGATCACTTGGCCTTGAATTAAGCCAGGCTTAAGTTCTTACGTTTCAATATTTGTATTTGAAACTACCAAATAACAAATGTGTGTTCACAGACTTCTTGGAACTCAACATTCTTACTGTAGCTTTCACAGAAAACTCACAAATAGGATTAAAGAAATTGATGTTTAAAAATTCCTGCTTTTTGCAATGGAAACAAAAGCCAAACGAGCAGTTCATACCTGAATCACAGCTTCATCAATTTTGCGGACTGCTTTGGAATCAAACAAGACCTGTCTGCCTCTTCTCTCACAGTCCTGGTAAACTATCAGGCGGATTTCATTCAAGTCAAACTCTGATGAGGACCAGCTGCAGATTATAAACAAGACGTTAAAATAGAATGCTTACTTTGCATTTAAGCAAACAGAAATATATTTAGCAAATACATCTTCTACTCAGCATTTACAAGAACCAAGCTGCGATAACAGCACTTGGACTGAGAAGGAACTGAAAGGACAGACACACAACACAGTCAGGCTTTTTCAAAGTTTTCAAGAACGTGAACTAACACACCATCTCAGTCATCTGGTGCTTAAATACATTAAACTTGTTCCGTTCTCCATACACAGTTTTGATCACTTCCACTGCAAGTTAGATGTACTATTTTATGCAATTCTCTTGGCAGTGATAAGAGGCAATGGATTATCATCCTCTTTAAAAGAGCCCTGCACACACTGGGAGGTTTGCACGGTTCCTCATCTCTATCTTCTCTAAACAACAGAAAACCGAATCTTTTCAAGCTTTTCAATGACAACGAGTAATGAATTTTTTCTGGTATTTAATTTTGCAACTGAAAGACTGAACTAAAAGGTTTATGTCGATCCCTTATTCCCCCTCCATTCTCCAAACTGTTTCAGGTTTAAGAAAAGATTAACAAAAGGATAACAAGACAGTGACAAAACTTCTTCAGTACTGCTGAGATTCTCTCTCAAATAAAACAACTCCCTAACCTGGAGCACATCTGCCTCTGTCAGGCAGGCCTGGGGATGCAACTTGGTTCCTCCAGCCACCACGTGAAGCTCAAGAGCACAAGTGACCACGGCTACAATGGTGAGAAACATTCCTTCCAAATTCTTGATGCATTTGGCGTACGTTGGAGCATGGAGGTTTGCTTTGCCCCAGATTCAGCCACAGAAAATGCTTGTCACATCCTGCAGCTGACAAGCTGGAATTAATGAACAAAAAAACCCTGGTGCTACATAAAGCACTGCCACGCAGCTCTGGCAGCAACCTGGTCACACTGCCTCGTCCCTGACCTGCGTAGTCCACATCCAGGGGTAAGAGTACAACTGTTACTATTAGCTGTTGGTTCAACAAATTGCATAACAGACTTCAGTCAAGGCTGCCCCGATCTCCACCACTTAGGAATTTCCCCAAATTATGCCTGATGGAGAACAAAGGTGGAGAACTGAGGAAAGAGCACAGAAGTGCTACACAGCTGGAAGGCGGGGGCTTCTGAAGCGTCTTCTTTGATTCCATGCTCCAGTAGTCATAAATCAGTAATGAGGCAATAGCATCACCTCCTGCTAGTCAGTAAGGTAACCAGGGCAACTGCTTTTGAAGCACGCTCACAACTACAAACAGCCATTACAAGACAACTCAGCCTACTTTCTTCGTACTTCATCTTGGATTTCAGAGAACAGCTTCCCTTTCTACTGAGAAAGAAATGAGGCTGAGTCACAGAACAGTAGGGGTTGGTTGAGACCTCTGGAGATCATGGCTTGGAATGTGCCAGAGCATCCTTTTCCTTCACCTGGAGGATTTAATCCTAATTTTGAGTACGTTTCAACAGAATAAGCCATATCCCATCTCCACTTTGAAGCAGCAATGCAAATACACGGTATCTAATGGCCTGGCACACACAGCTAGATGGTGGAACAATGCTAAAGGCTGTTTTGCCATCAACAGTAAGCAAACTTGAAACATTTGGAACGCCCTGCCTCAACAACTCCAGGAGTGCCAGACATTACTTCTCAAGTTCCCCCTTCGAGAGGGGATCACAGCTTTAAGCTAACCTGCACGACAGCAGTCCTGATTCCACAGCTGACAGCTGCCTGAAGATCTCCTGCACTCCACATACACAAGGAGCTGCAAGTAAACCACCTGTTTTACAAGCCTTCTGTTAGTTTCTCAGGTGACCACCTGTGCAACTCTATTACAAAATCCAGTTGTATCAAATACAAGAGTCAGAGCCATCAACAGACTTCACGCTGTTCTAACCAAGGAACTAAGCTCTTTTCAACACCTGGTGCTCTGATACCTCTTCAGTACACAGCTGATCCTTTACTGACACATTTTGGTAGCACATAATACCATAAGCATTCCTGAAGTAAATGTGCTACTTTATTAAGAAGGCCAGAGGTCACCCTTCCTTCCAACAACAAAGAAAACACACATCTTTACATCTTCAATTTAAACTGTATGAACAAAGCTTCCTAAAATTAAAAAAAAAAATTTCGGGACAGGCACAACAGGGTCAATAGATGAGATCATAGGACTGCAAGTCAAATCTGAGAAACATTCATCTCAGGCAGATTTAGGCAGTGCAGTCCTGTATTGCAACCACAAAAGCTAAAAGCACATTTATCACACCATCTCAGAATCAAAGGACTCGGAAGGGACCTCAAGGGATCAAGTCCAACCCCCTGCCAAAGCAGGTTCCCTACAATAGGGAAGGCATCAGATAAGTCCCCCCCCTTAGGAGGGGACTCCACAGCCTCTCTGGGCAGCCTGCTCCCTCACCCATACCATGAAGTCATTTTGCATGTTAGTATGGAACTTCCTATGCTCCAGTTTTAGGTTATTGCTCCCTGTCCCATCTCTGTATGCCACTGAGAAGAGCCTGCCCTCATCCATTTGCCTCCCACCTTCCTTGAGATACTTATAAACATTTATCAGAACCCATTTCAGCCTTCTCAACCCCCAGCTGAACAGACCCAGGTTACTCAGGCTCCCTTCACACAGGAGATGCTTCGAGGCCCTCAACCATCTGTAAGGCCCTCCGCTGGACTCTCTCTTTTTGGCCCCTGTCTTTTTGGACTGGGGAGCCCAGTTACACTTGTGTTGCACGAGTTGAGGTTTCTTCATGAACAGGTGAAGTCCCTTATTCTGCACAAAAGCAAAGTGCTCAGTTCTAAGTAAGAAACAAACAGGGTTTTATAACAGAAGCTGAAGCAGAAGCCAGCTTTTGCTTCCATGAAGCAAAAGCAGAATTAAAGATACCTGCAATCTTTCAGAACTTCAGGACGCAACAAGTTGAGACATCTATCAAAACACATCATACAAAGCTTCATGTGAGTAACAGAACCACAGTAGGGAAGTAACTTCAGATAATGCTCCTGGCAGTAGTCAGCAAGCATCAGACTTATTTTAGCAAAGCCTTCACTTTGAGCCTTTGCACTGCACAGACCACAGATGCAGTCCTCACAGCAGTTTAACACATTACAGAAGCGATCCACCCTATTAAACACCATTTGGTAAGCTCAAGGACATCTACGGGCAAGCTTACAGGCATATAAATCCATTGTCTCATTACCTGCACGTGGAAGCAGGCACAAGACTAGACAGATGACTTTTTTTCCCCTTACACAAAAGTTGATGAGCACACTGATTACAGTACTTCCACCCCTTATTGTTTAAGCCAGTCTGTATAACACACAGCCCTCAAAACAAAGACAGCACCATTCAGCCATTTCCTAAAAGCAGTGCTGAAGATACGCAGACTCGCAGTATACAAACTCTGATTTCACGTGCATAAAAGGCAAAACCAAACCACTGCTTACATATCTTTAAATAAGCAAGAAGTTAATACAGCAACGCTGAAAGACATGCTTCTTTCTGTTCCTTCACCTATGCCTTATGATAAAAAGGGAAGATTATTTTACACAAAGCACCACTCATTTGAAAATGAAGCTCATTTCTGCATTGCATAGCTTAACTTCCTTTACGTTTAACTAAAAGAAAAACCCTTTCATTCTCTTGCATCAGTTGTTTCTAAAAAGAGACACCAAAACATCTGAAATAAGCAGAGATATTTTAGTGTATTTTTCTTAAGGAAAAAAAAAAAAGCTCCTATGTGTGTACAGTGTGTTGACCTTGATCAATTATTTACAAATTTCTTAATCAATTTCCACTGCCAAGCTTGACCAAAGGACATACGTTTCTATGCATGTCATGAAAATAAATCCTGAAGGGAAGAACAGACTGTGAAAGATATGTATAAGGTGGGAAAACAGAAAACGTTGTGAGAAATTTACACCAGTTTGCACGTTATTAAATTGTAATTTGTCAGTGACAGTAAAAAACCACCCATACCTAAAGCTTTATTCATTCTTCTGCTTATGGACTAGACAACCAACACCCAACACGCATACAAAAAGCCTCCTGCTTGCTGGCTGCAGCACATGACAAGATGCTGGCAGTCCATTCCACGCTCAGCTACTAAATGCTGACAGCTAAGCAAACCAGAACTGCCTTTTCACTTCTTCAACACCATTCCCAACACTCCCCAACTTCATCTCTCAAGGCTGTGCTCCTTACACTTGTTTGGCAAAATTAAAGTGGGCACATTCTTGATCGTTTCCTTTCTCTCTGCTTCCATCTAAAACAGCTTACCAAACTACACTTTAAGTACCTGAGGAAATTATGTGATAGTTCTATTTTACATATGCACCTACTAATCAAAGCGTTACTTCTTGTCAGCAAACAAGGTAATTCCCCAGGTAAGCATCAGTCTTGATAATGTTTTGTACAGAATGTGATACAGTCATTACTTCTGCAAAACAATGCTGCTTCTTCCAGTTACTTTTTAAAAGTCTCCCAAAAAAGTTCTCCTAAACACTGGAACACCACCTGCCATGGCCACGTTTAACTGCAAGCAGAATCAGACAAATTTTTGCAAGTGAAGATTTTACCTCTTCAATTCTTACCAGAGAACTACATAACAAAACACAATGCGAAAGTCTCCCAGGCAAAAACAACATGTTCTGTGTTGGAAGAACTGCTTATTGCTTAAAAGGCACACTTGGATTTAAAAGGAAGTTTTACAAACAAAATAAACAGGGTTTTGTTTACCTGGTATTTTTTTAAGCCCTTTGAACATCAAAACACTGCATTACATTCAAATAGAATTCTGGTAACAGCACGCTATGGAAAAGAAAGTGAAGAGACTACAACCTAACCAACTTGTTTCACTTCAGATCACAAACCATCATTATGTGAGACCCCAAATATTCTTTAAAATTAGATAAATTCAGTAAATGAACATGAACTTTGTGTAGCTGTTCCTCTTTCACGTTCAATAAGGCTAACTGGACCGAACAGTTTTCTTAGTCAAGCAGAAATTCAAAAGCTTAATGCGTCCTTTCTCCCCTTTTCCTAACTGTGTGACCATCCTCTAACACTCGTGTTGGCTGTGGTAGCTGCTGGACTCTGGCTAAAGTCTCCATAGCAGCAGAAATTGATCCCAGACAAGAGAATACAGCTCAAAAATGTAGCTGAAAAAGGGGATAAGCAAAAGGCAATGCAATCTCCACCTCCTGGTGGCAGCATGAGTTATGCTAACTCACCTCATCCTTGGAGCTGGGTATCTCCAGGAAAGGGTGCAAGCTCCCTGTGTCCTTTAACTAAGTATTGAGGCTACTGAGAACGTTAACTGGGTTCTCTTGTTCCCGGTGTCTGCTTTCTGCCTGCTTACCAAGGTGAGCTGACTCCCTAAGGGAAGTCGGTTCCAGAAGGGTTGGAACCACTGGAGCCAGCAAAGGGGGAAAGAGGACACAAGCACGTTGCCAGAAAGCAAAGGACAAAGAGGCAATGTCACTACTCCCTTTAGCATCAGCAGTCTGTTTGAACCATTCAGCTTATCTGATCTCACCCTCAGAGTGGATCTCTCCCACATCTAGAAGATGCTAGAATAAACAACACCCTCAAGTCTAAATAAGGAAATAACATCAAGCTGTCTACGGTCATACAACAGGAAAACCAGCTTACCTATGCCTACAAAATTAAGAAGGACAATTCCTGTTAAACTTAAGTTTACTTTATCTCTCCAATGGTGGCACATACGTCACTGTCCTTTGGCTTTTTCACAGTTCCTTCCTTTACAGGTCACAGACACTGAGGCTCAAGTCTCACCAAGGGGAAAGCAGAACTGTTTGCTTCTGGAAGGGAGCCACAAAGGCTTGCCCCATACTGTCTTAAATCGGTATTCTCAGTTAGTAGAGATCTAGAGATCTCCAAACTCTTAAAAAAAAGAGTAACCTTTTAGCTGACTTTTAGAGCAATCAGAACGCATGCAATAACTGAAAAAGTGCCCTATTTATTTATATTTGAAGATTACTTTGGCAGACCTTAGAAAGTGACTAACCACCACTTCAGTGCAACACCTTCAGGTTAGAGAAATAAGAAGCCCAAAATCTATAGACCGATCTGCTGCTTTTTCTAAAAGCAATACTGAATGTACAAGAGTTATTCTAATGCTGTTTTAGAAGAATATGGAAAAGGCTGCCCTCAACCACATTTCCACAGTCATGCAGCATGCTGGCACACACCTGAAAGAAGGCACAACGTAACAAATGCTGTTGATGCTCGTTTACTTAGCGCTCGATCTAGAGATCTTTTACAAGCAAAGCACAGGGTTGACTCCCCTATGCCTCCCCTATTCCTCCCCCCACTTCAGAGCATTCTCTGCTGCCTGCAAACCAGTGCTATCTGACCCAGTAATGCAGAAGGTGGCAAAAAAATTAAAAAGTGGAGAAGCAATTAGAAAAGGAAGGTAAGGTTATATAACCTTAAGTGAAAAGAGACCACTATTCTTCAGAGAACATCAAATGTCTTACCTATCAACAAAACTCCATACATACCTGTTTTGCAGCAGCCTAGTCACTCTGCTCACACAGCTGACGCTTCTGTCTCTCAGAGATTTTCTAATCCTCTCATCTAATTTGGTACAAGAGAAATCATTTCCAAGCGGTACATCACTGTTGTTTCTTGCTCTTTCTATTTGTTCCCCTGCATTTGTAGTTTTTGGTGTACCCCCACACATTTTCTTCTGCTACAAATCCTCTTGCAAGAAGCTGAAGAGATACAGCCTCAAGCAGGTTTCTTTACTACAGATCAACCATTAACGATGATAATTCCTATCAGATTTCTACACAGGAACACAATCCAATGATTTCTTGTTGGAGGAAGAGGAGGCAAATACACGCCATTCATGAAGAAATACAGCTGAAGCTACAGTACCAATGCAATTATTCCAGACAGAAGAGCAGACACTACTTCCAAGTTTCAGAAGCCATTCTTTTGCTGTGTTAGTTTCCTACCAAGCCTGGCGCAAAGCTGCAGCAGATACAACAGCTAATATTGACTTAAACTGTGTTTGTTTCCTGGTATGTGATTAGGTAGCTGGCAATTATGTAGTCACAAGACCAAACCATATGGCCTCTTAAAAAAAAAAAAAAAAAAAAAGCATAGTTGCTTTTGCAGTGACTCGCCCTTCGTTGCAAGGTTGTTCTAACACTGGCTACAACACCCTGTTAATGGCTCTCATGTGAGCAAGTGTCATCTGACAACTCCTAGCAACCTCATATAGCACAGGAGCAAATAAGAGTCTGTCATCATCGCCATATGGTTTATGGGGGGGAGGGGGTTGGAAACCACCACCAAGAAACACCAGCTGTTTTGCACTGTAATGATTTTACTTTCAAGGACAAAAGACATTTACTCTTGAAGGAGAATTTCGAGGTACTGTTTTGAAAAGCTGTTAGAAAGAAAACACCAAGTTTGTCACAGATATTGCCCGTTTGTGAGAACTTACAGTCACAGGCCTATTAAAACAATTCAGTAACAGTATTGATGACAAATACCTCATAAAACACTTCTAGCAAAGATCACACACAATTTGAAACAGGCCAATGGAACTTCACACTTGATTCAAGTTCATGTAATTCTGCTGGAGAACTGAGTCTTCTTTCCCAATGCTGTTCTTAAAGAAACTAAATAAAACAAAAGCATCCACACAACTGCCAGTAACTCCTCATACACAGCTTCTTAGCCAAGGAGCTATTAGCCTTCTGAATTAGAAAAGGAAATTAACCTTGCCAATGGTCACCCAGAAATACAGCAGGAGAGTTGGACAAGATGTCAAACCCCAGCGGTACACGCTACCTGCTGAATAGCACAGCATCCTCCTTAAAGGCTTTTTGTAAGCTCTGTAAACCACAACATCTAAACCCTGGAAAAAAGACATGTGGTCAAGTAGAGCATAGTAACACTGAACACCTTGCCCAGACACACAGGAGGAAACCTGAAGCAGTTAAGAACAAAAAAAGAAGAAAACAGTCCAAATTATGTGAATACACACACAGACCTGGAAGTTCCAGATGAGGGAAATGGGTGCAGAGCTCCAAAACATCCAGTTAAATCCCAGTTTCAGAGACTAGAAATACAACAGCAAGAAGCCCCCTAAAACTCTACAAGACCCCCTGGGAGCTATACAACAATATTTCATCAGCACTCCTGACATATTGAGGGAATTATGACTGGAAATCTACGGAACACGTCAAGTCTAAGGAGCAGATACTGCAGAAAATGGAAGAAGGCACCCTCAGAAGTTATCCTCTGAGAAGCAGAGTTAAACCATTCTTCTTTTTCTAGGCAATGTGACAGCACATCACCTGTTCTGTTTGTAGGTCATTTCCTGTCCTTCATCTCAGCTCTTACAGAGTTGCATACATTACTCCAATCCATTCCCAGTAAGGAGATCTGAGGCGAGGGTTGGGAAGAGGAAATATATAGGATGGAAGCTGTTAAGAATTTTCTGTAGAAGTTACAGTTGTCCACTAAAATCTAAACATCGTTTTCAAATAACAAAATATTTGTGAAGTGTCCAACAAGGTTTTGTTTCCCAGATAGCTTTACAAAATGTAGAAAAAAACAGAAAGTTCGCATCACACCTACTGTTTCAGTGAGAATTTCATTCTATGAGTCATACTTACAGAGCTGATACACAAAAAAACAATGCCCACAACCCAGACATTTGGGATGAGCGCCAGAATGTATTTGTAAGTAAAGTGAAATCTACTTCGGATTGCTTAAAGACGAATTTCCCTCTTTAAGGCTATTTAATAGACAACGTAGATGTATTTTCCCTTCTCCTCTCCCAAGACAGCGTTTACTCCATGCTGCTCCTCTTTTTTACTGCCTCGGAAGAGCTGTGCCGATGCCACACCGCATTCGTTTTCCACAATCATTTAAAGTAGTCCTAATATGGTAAAGCACTGTTTAACCTTAGCTGAACCGCCTTGTTCCAGCATGATACATACTTACTAGCTTCGTACAAGTTAGGCTGGATATATTGCAGATTAGTCACGCAACAAGTGAAGGAACATGTCATTTGCAGCACTTCCCTCATCTCGAGTTTTCCTACAGAAAGAGCTGTGGTGCAGTTCTCCATGTTAGATCACTGCCCACAGATGTTGCCTTTTTAGAAGAATAATTTCGCATGGTGCTGCATGAAAAAGAAAACAGCGCTGGGTGTATTTGTTCACTGCAAATGCAGAACTAACTGAACTTACGGTCAGAGAAAGCACTGAATTTTTGCAAGGTTGGAAGCGTTTTTCACCATCTCCCTCAAAAAGCAGTATCACCCCATACACATATACACACCTGACAGAAGCTAACAAGCAGCTCCATGCCAAGTTAAAGTCACCATAAACTGCCCACATCAGCTTTTCGCAACCAATGAGAAGAGCCTGCTAAAGCAGCATTTCGCAACGCAGCCACCTTTCATTAAGTTTGGATTCACCGTTCAGAGGCTTATCTCTAAGTCTGGGAGCCAGGTTCCATGCAATGTCTCAATGATAATGTTAAATAAAACAGGGAAAAAAAAACAAAACCAACATACCAAGAACAGCATGTTTGAAGTAGCACCATACCCAGCACAAGACAATGTTTGGAGTTGCTAGCCCCCAAAACACAGTGCAAAAAGAGCACAGGGGTGTTATTAGGGGGAACTGTAACCCCAGTAGCTTTCCAGCAGCTAGCAGATTGCAGTTTGTCCAAATTAAGTCACATATTCTGCAAAAGGGGTTTTACAGCATTAATCTTGATGACGGCAAAGAACCAAAGGCTCGCTTGTCCACAGAACATTCTCTGGGCTTTCTTCTGCTTTAGAAAGATAAGGAAACCTCCAGGAAGCAGCTCCCAGCTGTCTCTGGAGCCAAAGCAGCCGTGCCAAGCGGCAGCGGCCAGGCAGGAGCGAGCAGCGCAGGTTCCGGCCCTCGGCCAGGAGCGGGCGGCCCGCCTCCTGCTGCCTCAGCGCCAGGTCTGGCCTAGCACAGCGCTCACATGGCCCTCGCTCCAGCAGCGCCATGTGACTGGGCCGGCAGCCAGGAGCAGAGCTACTAAACGCACACACTGCCAAGGCATGTTGGGCAGCTGCCTCCGCCAGAGCACGAGACCAGTACAAGCCTCCTGCCCCGCCAGCCTCACTGCCTGTGCTTTCACCCTCCTTTTAACAGAGGGAAGCAGAACTGAATGCCGCACATTTCAGAAAAATAAAAATAAAACTGCAGCAATGCAAGGCAAAATCTGGTATTCATAACGCTGAACCAGCTCATGTAGCATTTCAGCACTAAGGGGAAGTAGGGGCTGATCTCAGACCTATCATCTACACAGGCAAGCAGGCCCACACAGACACCACCACCACCACCGCTCCAGGCAGCATCCTGAGGCACTGGCTTGGTTGCCTGCTCCTTCTTCCTCTTCTGCAAAACTTGGGTTTGGTTTCTTTTTATTTATTTTTTTTCCAAGTCGGTATGCTTGGAAAAAATACGCTGCTTTCAAACGCATGCTCAAAGCAGTAGGGCTAGTACGTGAAAATAAAAGCTATTAAGAAACAACATTATTAGAAATAAGTAAATGCATCCTCGTGCCAACTGATACAGAAGATATGAACAACGTCGTCTGTGCTGTCTGACATTGAAAGATTCTACCAGCTTGCCAAAACAAGGACTGCTCCCATGTTATGATGTTGGTGTGCGATGTCACAGGCAGCTGTTGGTGGCAAGCAGTAGAGGCTGAACCTTCCCACCAACATTCCACTCCATGTTATTGCTGCGCGACAACAGATGGCAGCAGAGGGGCCGTCTGACAAAATGGTGTCTGACATAGAAGTGTGTATGGAGCAAAACTGTGCCAGCAAACTCCTCCAGACAGAAAAAAAAAAGGCACCCATTGACATGTGAACACGTACAGAGACCAAACAGTGGATGTGAGCACAGTGAGGCTGTGAGCAGTGTGTTTCAGTAGTAGCAGCAGTGGCCTCCTCTGTTGGTACAGACTTTCATGAGAGTGGCACGCAGGCTGTTGTTCATTGCTGTGAAAAATGCACAGCCAGTGGTGGTGTCCACACTGAAAAATAGTGCTCCGTAGCTGAGAATCTGCTCTATCAAATAGTACTGTTGTGCTCTTTGTACCTGCTGTAGTTTCCATGGAAATACATGCGAGGCATTACTTTCAGAGCCATCAAGGTATCCTTTTGGTAAGAACTCCAGCACTTGGAACTCAAAGTAACTAAAAGCACTTGCATGTCAAACTGAATAGAATACAGCTCAGTAACAAATTGTATCATCAAATTCACAAGTAAAAAAAGGTCTTACTTTTCATTTGGCTGGTTTTTTTTCCTTCTTAATATCCAGCACCGTGGTTTTACAACTCTACTCTTGTATTTCATTAATACCTGTGACAAATAAACCTTAAGATAGCAAACGTGGCACGCCAGCACTGCTGAGAGCTGAAGCAGCTCCAATTGGTCAGCTAGCAAAACACGGCTGAGTTCTCTGTAAATAGTTACAGCCAGCTGTTGTAAGAGCAAGATGCTTCTTAACTCCTTTGGAAAGTAAAAAGAGAATCAAGAGGTAACTGGAAAGTTAGCCTGCAATAATGGGAATGAAAAACGAATAAAGTATATTGAATACTTATGGAAGTGCACTGATTTACCCTGCTGGCAGGAATATGGGAAAGAACACAGGCACAAGAAGGCAATACATGATCATCCTAAAGTTGCTCATGCCATAGCATGAACAGCAAAAGCCCATCGTCTCTCCATAGATGAATGCCAGGAAATCCTGACTTAGATTGAACGAAGTGATAACACAGATGGATATAACGTCAGCTCCGGCGTTTTTCATTAGTTATGGCCAAAAATACTGTGTTTTTGTCTTTGTTCTTGTTGTTATGACCATTTGCCTATTCCATCCAAAACACTTTCCTTAACCCTCAATTGCAGATGGTACCGCAAGCAGTTCTCCAGCACTGAATCCTGAAGGCCTTGTGCATATTTATCCTTACGTTTCACTACAAAGGAAAGAAGCCACGTCTCAGAACTCTGTACGAGTTCAGAGTAGTTAAATCACTTATAATTTACCACCCTCTCAGTGAAATA